CCGTGGTGGGCTCCAGGTGTGCCCTCAGTCGTGGTGGGCTCCTGGTTTGCCCTCAGCCGTGGTGGCTCCTGGTGTGCCCTCAGCCGTGGTGGGCTCCAGGTGTGCCCTCAGCCGTGGTGGCTCCTGGTGTGCCCTCAGCCGTGGTGGCTCCTGGTGTGCCCTCAGCCGTGGTGGGCTCCAGGTGTGCTCTCAGCCGTGGTGGGCTCCTGGTGTGCCCTCAGTCGTGGTGGGCTCCAGGTGTGCTCTCAGCCGTGGTGGGCTCCAGGTGTGCTCTCAGCCGTGGTGGGCTCCAGGTGTGCCCTCAGCCGTGCTGGGCTCCAGGTGTGCCCTCAGTCGTGGTGGGCTCCTGGTTTGCCCTCAGCCGTGGTGGCTCCTGGTGTGCCCTCAGCCGTGGTGGGCTCCAGGTGTGCCCTCAGCCGTGGTGGGCTCCAGGTGTGCCCTCAGCCGTGGTGGGCTCCTGGTGTGCCCTCAGCCGTGGTGGCTCCTGGTGTGCCCTCAGCCGTGGTGGGCTCCAGGTGTGCGCTCAGCCGTGGTGGGCTCCGGGTGTGCCCTCAGTCGTGGTGGGCTCCAGGTGTGCTCTCAGCCGTGGTGGGCTCCAGGTGTGCTCTCAGCCGTGGTGGGCTCCAGGTGTGCCCTCAGCCGTGGTGGGCTCCTGGTTTGCCCTCAGCCGTGGTGGCTCCTGGTGTGCCCTCAGCCGTGGTGGGCTCCAGGTGTGCCCTCAGTCGTGGTGGGCTCCTGGTTTGCCCTCAGCCGTGGTGGCTCCTGGTGTGCCCTCAGCCGTGGTGGGCTCCAGGTGTGCCCTCAGCCGTGGTGGGCTCCTGGTGTGCCCTCAGCCGTAGGGGGCTCCAGGTGTGCCCTCAGCCGTGGTGGGCTCCTGGTGTGCCCTCAGCCGTAGGGGGCTCCAGGTGTGCCCTCAGCCGTGGTGGGCTCCTGGTGTGCCCTCAGCCGTGGTGGGCTCCAGGTGTGCCCTCAGCCGCGGTAGGCTCCAGGTGTGCCCTCAGCCGCGGTAGGCTCCAGGTGTGCCCTCAGCCGTGGTGGCTCCTGGTGTGCCCTCAGCCGTGGTGGCTCCTGGTGTGCCCTCAGCCGTGGTGGGCTCCAGGTGTGCTCTCAGCCGTGGTGGGCTCCAGGTGTGCCCTCAGTCGTGGTGGGCTCCAGGTGTGCTCTCAGTCGTGGTGGGCTCCAGGTGTGCTCTCAGCCGTGGTGGGCTCCAGGTGTGCCCTCAGCCGTGGTGGGCTCCAGGTGTACCCTCAGCCGTCTTGGGCTCCAGGTGTGCCCTTAGCCGTGGTGGGCTCTAGGTGTGCTCTCAGCCGCTGCGGGCTCCAGGTGTGCCCTCAGCCGTGGTGGGCTCCAGGTGTGCCTCAGCCGTGGTGGGCTCCAGGTGTGCCCTCAGCCGTGGTGGGCTCCAGGTGTGTTCTCAGCCGTGGTGGGCTCCAGGTGTGCCCTCAGCCGTGGTGGGCTCCAGGTGTGCCCTCATCCGTGGTGGGCTCCAGGTGTGCCCTCAGCCGTGGTGGGCTCCTGGTGTGCCCTCAGTCGTGGTGGGCTCCAGGTGTGCTCTCAGCCGTGGTGGGCTCCAGGTGTGCTCTCAGCCGTGGTGGGCTCCAGGTGTGCTCTCAGCCGTGGTGGGCTCCAGGTGTGCCCTCAGCCGTGGTGGGCTCCAGGTGTGCCCTCAGTCGTGGTGGGCTCCTGGTTTGCCCTCAGCCGTGGTGGCTCCTGGTGTGCCCTCAGCCGTGGTGGGCTCCAGGTGTGCCCTCAGCCGTGGTGGGCTCCAGGTGTGCCCTCAGCCGTGGTGGGCTCCTGGTGTGCCCTCAGCCGTGGTGGCTCCTGGTGTGCCCTCAGCCGTGGTGGGCTCCAGGTGTGCTCTCAGCCGTGGTGGGCTCCTGGTGTGCCCTCAGTCGTGGTGGGCTCCAGGTGTGCTCTCAGCCGTGGTGGGCTCCAGGTGTGCTCTCAGCCGTGGTGGGCTCCAGGTGTGCCCTCAGCCGTGGTGGCTCCTGGTGTGCCCTCAGTCGTGGTGGGCTCCTGGTTTGCCCTCAGCCGTGGTGGCTCCTGGTGTGCCCTCAGCCGTGGTGGGCTCCAGGTGTGCCCTCAGCCGTGGTGGGCTCCAGGTGTGCCCTCAGCCGTGGTGGGCTCCTGGTGTGCCCTCAGCCGTGGTGGCTCCTGGTGTGCCCTCAGCCGTGGTGGGCTCCAGGTGTGCTCTCAGCCGTGGTGGGCTCCTGGTGTGCCCTCAGTCGTGGTGGGCTCCAGGTGTGCTCTCAGCCGTGGTGGGCTCCAGGTGTGCTCTCAGCCGTGGTGGGCTCCTGGTGTGCCCTCAGTCGTGGTGGGCTCCAGGTGTGCTCTCAGCCGTGGTGGGCTCCAGGTGTGCTCTCAGCCGTGGTGGGCTCCAGGTGTGCCCTCAGCCGTGGTGGGCTCCAGGTGTACCCTCAGCCGTCTTGGGCTCCAGGTGTGCCCTTAGCCTTGGTGGGCTCTAGGTGTGCTCTCAGCCGCTGCGGGCTCCAGGTGTGCCCTCAGCCGTGGTGGGCTCCAGGTGTGCCTCAGCCGTGGTGGGCTCCAGGTGTGCCCTCAGCCGTGGTGGGCTCCAGGTGTGCCCTCAGTCGTGGTGGGCTCCTGGTTTGCCCTCAGCCGTGGTGGCTCCTGGTGTGCCCTCAGCCGTGGTGGGCTCCAGGTGTGCCCTCAGCCGTGGTGGGCTCCTGGTGTGCCCTCAGCCGTGGGGGGCTCCAGGTGTGCCCTCAGCCGTGGTGGGCTCCTGGTGTGCCCTCAGCCGTGGTGGGCTCCAGGTGTGCCCTCAGCCGCGGTAGGCTCCAGGTGTGCCCTCAGCCGCGGTAGGCTCCAGGTGTGCCCTCAGCCGCGGTAGGCTCCAGGTGTGCCCTCAGCCGTGGTGGCTCCTGGTGTGCCCTCAGCCGTGGTGGCTCCTGGTGTGCCCTCAGCCGTGGTGGGCTCCAGGTGTGCTCTCAGCCGTGGTGGGCTCCTGGTGTGCCCTCAGTCGTGGTGGGCTCCAGGTGTGCTCTCAGCCGTGGTGGGCTCCAGGTGTGCTCTCAGCCGTGGTGGGCTCCAGGTGTGCCCTCAGCCGTGGTGGGCTCCAGGTGTACCCTCAGCCGTCTTGGGCTCCAGGTGTGCCCTCAGCCGTGGTGGGCTCTAGGTGTGCTCTCAGCCGCTGCGGGCTCCAGGTGTGCCCTCAGCCGTGGTGGGCTCCAGGTGTGCCTCAGCCGTGGTGGGCTCCAGGTGTGCCCTCAGCCGTGGTGGGCTCCAGGTGTGTTCTCAGCCGTGGTGGGCTCCAGGTGTGCCCTCAGCCGTGGTGGGCTCCAGGTGTGCCCTCATCCGTGGTGGGCTCCAGGTGTGCCCTCAGCCGTGGTGGGCTCCAGGTGTGCCCTCATCCGTGGTGGGCTCCAGGCGTGCTCTCAGCCGTGGTGGGCTCCAGGTGTGCCCTCATCCGTGGTGGGCTCCAGGTGTGCTCTCAGCCGTGGTGGGCTCCAGGTGTGCCCTCAGCCGTGGTGGGCCCCAGGTGTGCCCTCAGCCGTGGTGGGCTCCAGGTGTGCCCTCAGCCGTGGTGGGCCCCAGGTGTGCCCTCAGTCGTGGTGGGCTCCAGGTGTGCCCTCAGCCGTGGTGGGCCCCAGGTATGCCCTCAGCCGTGGTGGACTCCAGGTGTGCCCTCAGCCGTGGTGGGCCCCAGGTGTGCCCTCAGCCGTGGTGGGCTCCAGGTGTGCCCTCAGCCGTGGTGGGCTCCAGGTGTGCCCTCAGCCGTGGTGGGCTCCAGGTGTGCCCTCATCCGTGGTGGGCTCCAGGTGTGCCCTCAGCCGTGGTGGGCCCCAGGTGTGCCCTCAGCCGTGGTGGACTCCAGGTGTGCCCTCAGCCGTGGTGGGCTCCAGGTGTGCCCTCAGCCGTGGTGGGCTCCAGGTGTGCCCTCAGCCGTGGTGGGCCCCAGGTGTGCCCTCAGTCGTGGTGGGCTCCAGGTGTGCCCTCAGCCGTGGTGGGCCCCAGGTGTGCCCTCAGCCGTGGTGGACTCCAGGTGTGCCCTCAGCCGTGGTGGGCTCCAGGTGTGCCCTCAGCCGTGGTGGGCTCCAGGTGTGCCCTCAGCCGTGGTGGGCTCCAGGTGTGCCCTCAGCCGTGGTGGGCTCCAGGTGTGCCCTCAGCCGTGGTGGGCCCCAGGTGTGCCCTCAGTCGTGGTGGGCTCCAGGTGTGCCCTCAGCCGTGGTGGGCCCCAGGTGTGCCCTCAGCCGTGGTGGACTCCAGGTGTGCCCTCAGCCGTGGTGGGCCCCAGGTGTGCCCTCAGCCGTGGTGGACTCCAGGTGTGCCTCAGCCGTGGTGGGCTCCAGGTGTGCCCTCAGCCGTGGTGGGCCCCAGGTGTGCCCTCAGCCGTGGTGGGCTCCAGGTGTGCCCTCAGCCGTGGTGGGCCCCAGGTGTGCCCTCAGCCGTGGTGGGCTCCAGGTGTGCCCTCAGCCGTGGTGGGCCCCAGGTGTGCCCTCAGCCGTGGTGGACTCCAGGTGTGCCTCAGCCGTGGTGGGCTCCAGGTGTGCCCTCAGCCGTGGTGGGCCCCAGGTGTGCCCTCAGCCGTGGTGGGCTCCAGGTGTGCCTCAGCCGTGGTGGGCGGCTGGCTTCTGCTCTGCCGGGGGACACTGGATGACTTTAGCGTTTTAGTTGTGGCACAAGTTTCTAGTTATGCTCCGCAGTGTTGTCAGTGTGGTGCGGGGCTGGTGCTTGTCACGCTGAGGGATCCTGGGGCTTCCCAATCATCCGCTTGTCTGCGTTTGTTTGCCGCGAGTCATATTACATTCCAGTGATGGCGTCATTCGTTTCGCGATCTGTCTTGGCGATTCGCTCTTTCCGGGCTTAGCGTTTAACCCTTACCGGGTTCGCCGGGGCACATTCGATCCCACGATCGTCGTCGCCCCTATATCAACAACAACAACATCGCTCCTTGTGTGTTATCATGATGGAGTCACCCATTATGTGTGCTACGTGATAGGTTAAACACTAAAACAAACAAATTAAGGAACAACTTACAAAATGTTCGTCAAAGCTTGAGTTGACAGAGCCATGATGAACGTCTGAACTAGCCAATCAAGCGTCGAGCGATGATGACGTCATGAGTTGGGAAGTTGGTGAGGGTGACGTCACGAGGAGGAAAGTACCAGTGTGGAGGTGTGAGAGTGTCAGTCAGCAGCTGTGCCTGGGTCATGGTGCGGGGGCCGTCAGTCACTGGATAAACCAGGTAAATACCCACAGTCTTTCTCCACTACTTCACCCCTGCACTCTTCTCCTCCACCACCCTGACACCCAACTGGCTCATTATCCCTTGTTGGCTCGTGTGACTCTGCTGCGTCCGTCTGTGTAAACACCACTTTTTCTTTCTCGTAAATTGTAGAGTTTGATTATTTTTGTCTGTTACAATCAGTAAATTTAGTTGTGTGATAATTATGTGTGAAGGTGTTCTCCTAATCATTGTATTTGTCCACCCTTTCTTGTGGGATGGAGGAAATAACTTTATTTCCAAATCAACATTAACCTATTTTTTTCTGAAACTAATCTCATAGAATTTATATAACTTGTGAATAATGTTTTACTTCAATCGTGACCCCCATTACTCATTCCTATTCAAGAAAGTGTAAAATGGACATTCTTAATCTATTTTATTAAGGGACGCTTTACTAAACCTGCTTTTGTCATCCTGAGCTGCACCTGAAGTTGTTGGCGTTGTTTCCCGGCCAGACACGGCTTACTGTTTCTTCTGACGGAACTTTATTATGAATCTAAACACCGTAGTGTCCCATGGGTCAGTATATAAACACCGTAGTGTCCCATGGGTCAGTATATAAACACCGTAGTGTCCCATGGGTCAGTATATAAACACCGTAGTGTCCCATGGGTCAGTATATAAACACCGTAGTGTCCATGGGTCAGTATACAAACACCGTAGTGTCCATGGGTCAGTATATAAACACCGTAGTGTCCATGGGTCAGTATATAAACACCGTAGTGTCCCATGGGTCAGTATATAAACACCGTAGTGTCCCATGGGTCAGTATATAAACACCGTAGTGTCCCATGGGTCAGTATATAAACACTGTAGTGTCCCATGGGTCAGTATATAAACACCGTAGTGTCCCATGGGTCAGTATATAAACACCGTAGTGTCCCATGGGTCAGTATATAAACACCGTAGTGTCCCATGGGTCAGTATATAAACACCGTAGTGTCCATGGGTCAGTATACAAACACCGTAGTGTCCATGGGTCAGTATATAAACACCGTAGTGTCCATGGGTCAGTATATAAACACCGTAGTGTCCCATGGGTCAGTATATAAACACCGTAGTGTCCCATGGGTCAGTATATAAACACCGTAGTGTCCCATGGGTCAGTATATAAACACTGTAGTGTCCCATGGGTCAGTATATAAACACCGTAGTGTCCCATGGGTCAGTATATAAACACTGTAGTGTCCATGGGTCAGTATATAATTACTGTAGTGTCCATGGGTCAGTATATGTAAACACCGTAGTGTCCATGGGTCAGTATATAAACACCGTAGTGTCCATGACACAGTATATAAACACCGTAGTGTCCCATGGGTCAGTATATAAACACCGTAGTGTCCTATGGGTCAGTATATAAACACCGTAGTGTCCCATGGGTCAGTATATAAACACCATAGTGTCCCATGAGTCAGTATATAAACACCGTAGTGTCCCATGGGTCAGTATATAAACACCGTAGTGTCCCATGGGTCAGTATATAAACACTGTAGTGTCCCATGGGCCAGTATATAAACACTGTAGTGTCCATGGGCCAGTATATAAACACCGTAGTGTCCCATGGGTCAGTATATAAACACCGTAGTGTCCCATGGGCCAATATATAAACACCGTAGTGTCCCATGGTCAGTATATAAACACCGTAGTGTCCCATGGGCCAGTATATAAACACAGTAGTGTATACAGAGGGGTGAATTAAAAAACCGCTGCGCCCGAGGGAATGTATTCAAAGTGTATAACTGTGAATGTTGCAAAGATGTTTTATCCCTAACACTCGTAGAATAAAGAAAATATTTATTTTAGCCTCATTACAGGTGGAGAGGCGGGCAGAGCGGTATATTATTTTTAACTTGAGAGATTTTTGTGAGGACGTTGATAGTGATAGTGTAGATGTTATGAGGACGTTGATAGTGATAGTGTAGATGTTGTGAGGACGTTGATGGTGATAGTGTAGATGTTGTGAGGACGTTGATGGTGATAGTGTAGATGTTGGGAGGACGTTGGTGGTGATAGTGTAGATGTTGTGAGGACGTTGGTGGTGATAGTGTAGATGTTGTGAGGACGTTGGTGGTGATAGTGTAGATGTTGTGAGGACGTTGATGGTGATAGTGTAGATGTTGTGAGGACGTTGATGGTTATAGTGTAGATGTTATATGAATGTTGATAGCGATAGTGTAGATGTTGTGAGGACGTTGATGGTTATAGTGTAGATGTTATATGAATGTTGATAGCGATAGTGTAGATGTTGTGAGGACGTTGATGGTTATAGTGTAGATGTTATATGAATGTTGATAGCGATAGTGTAGATGTTGTGAGGACGTTGATGGTTATAGTGTAGATGTTATATGAATGTTGATAGCGATAGTGTAGATGTTGTCGGGAGATGACATAAACCACCTCCATGGGACGTGGTTGTGGTGACGTTTTGGTGCTGGTTGTTGTGATGTTTATGGATGGTTGTGGGGACGTTTCAAAGTAGTTGTAGGAACGTTTGGGGTGTTTGTTGTGAAGTTTGAAAGTGACTGTGGTGAAGTTTGAGGGAAGTGGTGGTAACGTTTAGAGTTGTTTGTGGTTGTGGTCATAGTTGTGGCAGTGATGGTTGTTTTGGTTGTGAGGTTAACTGTGTGCCATATCTACGGTGAGTGTGTGTATTAGGGTGATGGTTGTGACAATGGTGGTGGTGGTGGTGGTGGTGGTGGTGGTGGGGGTAGTGGTGGTGGTGGTGGGGGTGGTGGTGGTGGCATTGGAAGTAGTAAGCGGTGGTGGTGGTGACTGGGATTATCACATCCACGAGTGATAAGTCCATGTACACTTCCACTAAACAATTCCTGCTATTTCCTTTCTTGTTCTGTCTCCTGTTCTCTCTGTCTCTTGTTCTCACTGTCTTTTGTTCTCACTGTCTTTTGATCTTACTGTGTGTTGTGTTCACTACACACACACACACACACACACACACACACACACACACACACACACACACACACACACACACACACACACACACACACACACACACACACACACACACACACACACACAGACACACACACACAGACACACACACACACACACACACACACACACACACACACACACACACACACACACACACACACACACACACACACACACACACACACACACACACACACACACACACACACACACACACACACACACACACACACACACACACACACACAGACACACACACAGACACACACACACACACAGACACACACACACACACACACACACACACACACACACACACACACACACACACACACACACACACACACACACACACACACACACACACACACACACACACACACACACACACACACACACACACACACACACACACAGACACACACACACACACACACACACACACACACACACAGACACACACACACACACACACACACACACACAGACACACACACACACACAGACACACACACACACACACACACACACACACACACACAGACACACACACACACACAGACACACACACACACACACACACACACACACAGACACACACACACACACACACACACACAGACACACACACACACACACACACACACACAGACACACACACACACACACACACACACACACAGACACACACACACACACAGACACACACACACACACACACACACACACACACACACACACAGACACAGACACACACACACACACACACACACACACACACACACACACACACACACACACAGACACACACACACACACACACACACACACACACACACACACACACACACAGACAAGGGTAAGGGGAGACATGATAACCACCTAAAAAAATTTCAGGGGTATTGACAGGGTGGACAAACTCTTCAGCACGGGTGGGACACGAACAATCTTGAGGTTATCTTGAGATGATTTCGGTGCCTTTTTTTAGTGTCCCCGCGGCCCGGTCCTCGACCAGACCTCCACCCTCAGGAAGCAGCCCGTGACAGCTGACTAACTCCCAGGTACCTATTTACTACTAGGTAACAGGGGCATTCAGGGTGAAAGAAACTTTGCCCATTTGTTTCTGCCTCTTGCGGGAATCGAACCCGCGCCACAGAATTACGAGTCCTGCGCGCTATCCACCAGGCTACGAGGCCCCCTAACAAGGGGACACAGGTGGAAACTTAGTACCCAGATGAGTCACAGAGACGTTAAAAAGAATTTATTCAGTGTCAGAGTAGTTAATAAATAGAATGCACTAGGAAGTGATGTGGTGGAGGCTGACTCCATACACAGTTTCAAATGTAGATATGATAGAGCCCAGTAGGCTCAGGAATCTGTACACCAGTTGATTGACAGTTGAGAGGCGGGACCAAAGAGCCAAAGCTCAACCCCCGCAAGTACAATTAGGCAGTACAATTAGGTAAGTACACACACACACACACACACACAGGAGGAGATACAAGATAGGAGGAGGCCAGATACAAGGTATCATCTGGGAGAGGAAATTCTTCAGGAGTCAGAGAAGGAAAAAGACTTGGGGGTTGATATCACGCCAGACCTGTCTCCTGCAGCACATATCAAGCGGATAACATCAGCGGCATATGCCAGGCTGGCCAACATACGAACGGCATTCAGAAACTTGTGTAAAGAATCATTCAGAACTTTGTATACCACATATGTCAGGCCAATCCTGGAGTATGCAGCCCCAGCATGGAGTCCATATCTAGTCAAGGATAAGACTAAACTGGAAAAGGTTCAAAGGTTTGCCACCAGACTAGTACCCGAGCTGAGAGGTATGAGCTACGAGGAGAGACTACGGGAATTAAACCTCACTTCGCTGGAAGACAGAAGAGTTAGGGGGGACATGATCACCACATTCAAGATTCTGAAGGGGATTGATAGGGTAGATAAAGACAGTCTATTTAACACAAGGGGAACACGCACAAGGGGACACAGGTGGA